GTTTCTAACTTGGTTTGTAAGTCTATTTTTTCTTCTTCAAGAGCCTGAATTACTCCCTCAAGTACAAGAGCACTCTCTTCACTTGATCCATTTTCTTAATTATTATAATCAAAATCTTGCAAAACCTTAAGCTAAACTTGTACTATAAGTAATCCTCAGTATTAATTTCAAATATAAAGCATACACATATAGAACCAAACAGGAAATCCAAAGTAGGAATATCTAGTTCCTTAATAACACAGGCCAGAAACACCCACACAAAACATGCACACAATGGCCCCCTCACACTTAATTTCAAATATTTACAAGTGATAATGTTTCTTATCAACTAAAACCTGAAGCCAAAGGCTTGGTGATACCACTCACGACTACGGCGCGCTGTTGCTCTTGTGATTACTTGTGGAAACGGCGCAGTCTCAATCCTTGTCCTGATTGCAAGCCGCCGCCATATTTTGCAAGTCACTGCAATCGCAACGGTCCGAGCAGATTGCAAGGTTGAAAGACGAGCGGTAGTTTTCTTCAAGCTGCAGGCGAGTTGTAGTCTTCAAGCTGCAACGGTCCTTTTTCCCTCTCCCCCATCCATCTCAGCATGGCTGGCGAGAAGTTCACAGCTTGCTTTCACTGTGCGGTCTCCCTCGTTGTTCTCTGGCTTCGAGCTGAGCTGCATACGGTGCACGTGTTCACTATAGCTGCTCCCAACTTTTTCCACTGGTTGATGAAGATGCAACGCTCCGACTGATGGTTCCAAACGTTTATTAAAGGAATTTTCTGTAACATAAACGCCCAAGACCACCGTGAACACTGCAATAAAATACACAGTGGCAAATATACATCAGTTAAACCGTCATGTTCTTATATATAAATTGTTCAAAAATGAAACTTATTACACATATACAAACACAAGAATATTCCATTCAATTGTCCATACCGTATGCCCCTCCAACCAGAAGGTTAGGAGTTGCTAGAAGTCCATTTCTTCCAAATTTCAGTTCTTTGTCTTTCCTATTACCGCTTGCAAAACCCAACTGAGTATGAAACGAAACTTACAGCCCTTTATCGAAAGCATCACGTGACCAAGTGATGACGTAATTGCTGAAGTGGTCAGATAACGTTATTAACCAAATCAAACAGTATTTCCCAAAATATACATAAAGAAAATGCTTGACTGCGTTCGCTACATTTAATAAATCAGTTGCAAATCAATATTCAAGAAGTTTGCTCAACAAATGTATGAACTGGAGTAAAAAACTAGATATGATACTTGAAAACCAGGAAGCTCCTTTTGTACAATATGACAAGACCTTGAGATATTTTTCACTGTTTGTGCTCCCAACTACACTATAAAACATGGAAGCGATGGCACCACACTGTGAGACTGTTGTTTTTTGTCAGTAAGGTAAAGGAAGTTCGCCAGAGTTGATACTGAGTGAACATGTTTGATTCTTCCCCGGCAAACTTGCAAACATTTAGATGGTTTGAAAGCATAATACTGGAAAGACCTTCTGAATATTATGAACATTCTTACCTTCACAGTATAATTATTCAATAGAAAATAAAATGTCTCTCTAAAAGTACACTTGCAAGGCATATTTTCTTTGAAAAGTGAAACAAAACTCTTGAATGTGCCTGCATGAATTAGCCTCTATCGATTAACACACTTATTCATTCACAATGCAAGATAAAAAACTTATTGTTAGAAATAATAGTTGAATGTGACTGACATGGATCTGTTTTGCACTATGTGCCAGAAGTTTTGTCATGAAACATAGGGACGGCAACACAATGCTGTGGTATTTTTCAACTGTGGCTTTAAAGTAGCCACAGTTGGTTATACGTTGTATTGATAATTTATTTCAATTAATTATAAGAGGCTCGTTTATTGCAGTCTTTAAATTTGGACCTGTTGGCACTAAAACATTGCATGCAGGGTAAAACAACCTCATAAAAGAGGAAGCATTATGTCTCTTTAAAAGCATATTTCAGTTATTTTAATCCTTAAAAAGTGATAGAAAACACTGCAGCTTGCCAGCGGTAAAGACTTTTGGCTCCACAGTCACACTTTTTTTTTGTTAGTTTGAAGAAACTAAGCCTTTTCCTATCAACACTCATCATTCTTGCACAAAACAAGATAGAAACTCATCTACTGTGATAATACAATTAGATGAGTCCTTTACTTTACTTTTTAAATCAAGATTGTATCTTTTTATACTAATGCTGAGAAATTTTAAGCCTACATGAAGATCTTGTCATCAAATCCACGTTCATGTTTTGCCAGTCAAATATTTCATCTAGATTTTATGCTTTATTTATCCAAAATGATAAACTGCATCAAGAAGAAAAATAAAACTGATTTCCTCAGTGCGTGACATGCCTAATAAATTAAAATCAACTCGATGGTAAATCAGAAGAAACTCATTACATAAAAAGCCAATATCTGCTTTAGTGAGCCCACTTCTTGTATACCAGAGCTGCATTATCTCCAATCTGTATGAGGCTCTCATCTCCTCTCTCTCACTTTGGTGCTTTAGCAAAATGACATGCATTAAGTTGGCTTGATTCGACCCCGTCGAACAACACCAGCGCTGCGGCCAGCCTTCGCAAGTCGTGTTGCCCTGCAGCCACATCTGCTCCACTTTTCACCTCTGCCACTAACTCTCAATAAAGAGTGTGTTAATGTGTTCATATTTTTCGACTCTTTCAGTCGATTGGGATGAGTTCATGTATTTTTTTTCCCCTTCACAGCGTGCGGGCTGAAAATACACACAAATATCAAGTAAATCTGCAACTGGTGAGGATTTCTCTTGCAAACATTCAGCTGTCTGTGCAGAGGTGTTTTTGCAGCTGTGATTTATTTCTGTATTAATTATTAGCGTTGCCTAATGACTTTCCTGTGGTGAAGTACAACAAATCACTTCCACAGGATGTGTGTGGTGTGCGTTTTTTTTTTTTCTTTCTTTCTTGCTTGAGGGGAATGGAGAGGAAGTAAAATGAGAAGTGGAAAGATCTGTGTGGGAAGAAAGAGGTCACTGTATGCCACAGCAATTACCTTTCTCACCCAGGGCTGTGCCAATACTCTACATAGAGGAGAGACACAGAGAGGTCAGAGAGAAAACAAACATGCGCACGAGTGGTCAAAACACCATCCTGAAGTTCACATTCACACATAAACCTTCAGGACACAGTTCCATGCAAAGATATTCACACCCAGTGACCTTTTGCACATTTTATCAGATATGAGTTTTAGCTGTGTTGTTTAACATGATGCACATGCATGTTTGTGAAGTGGATGGAAAAAAGTTGCTTAAACTGTTTTAGTTCTGAAAATCTTAAAGGGGCGTTGTGCTGTTGTATTCAGCTTTTTCAATGTAACACCCACAAAAGGAGAGCATCATGCAGAAATGGTCCTTTCGCCTGTTAATGAATGTATTTGTAAATTTAATGACTTTTTAAAAGTGTCATAGACAATCATACAGTTTTCTGTTAATAACATCAGCTTTTATTGTTTTTTATTGTCCGTATAACAAGTGCATGTTGTTGAGCAATAGCACTGCCCATTAGAGCCACACGATGCATACTTACCTTGCTGCTATGCTCGGCGATGCTGCAGGTGAAAAGCTAGACTCAAAAAATATGGAAAAAAAACAAAGCATCGAAAGTTGTGACTGCTGGGATAGACGGCTTTTATGCTTGTTATAAGTCTCCATTTTTAAATTTTCCCTTACATTGTGCTCATTACTCATCGAACGGTAAAATGATGCCCTCCACAAAGCTGTTCCATGTTACAAGAAAGGTTGGGGCCTTCTGATGTTTAGAACACATCAAACATGTGGAAAATGCAAACTGGTATTAGAAGTAAAAAAAGATTTGAAACAACCAGAGACAACAAACCTAAACTGACAGCCAGAGCTAAAATGAGATGATTCAGGCCACAAATTGTATCTACGTTTGAAAATTGATGTTCCGAGATGCTCTTCATTTAATTTGACTCTCCAGCTGTGCAAACCTTCTCCGTCTATTTCAAAACGATGCACTGCTTTGTGATGGTTTATCACTCAATATCCCATTAAAATACATAGCAGTTTGTGGTTAAAAGATGTAAACGTGACAAGATGAATATGTTTGCGAGGCTCTGGATGTATTGCTGAAGATACCGTTGGACCTCAAGCAGACTGATAACAGCAGCCGTCATTTGAAGTTCCCAGGATGCTTTGTGACATGAGGAACATTATCTGTCAAAGCCCGCCGCTGTCCTCGGCTCTGACGAGTCGTCATGTTCTGGCGTCATCAGGGGGGTTGGGAGTCTGTCGTAGCATGTTGATGGCAGCGAGACAGACCCATAACCCCACCCCCACGCCTTCCAAGTCCCCTCTTGCCCCTCCATACCCTCTCTTGTGCTCCAGCTGGAGAAACATGGTGTTTCCCACTCGGAGTGGAGGTCAGGATCGCCAGGCCTCCATGCCTGCTGCTGACAGCTCAGATTTATTTTTAATCACGGTGATGAGAGCGTGCGATGCTCAGATCATGTGGCTTGTTAGAGTCGAGTGGCGAGTCCCATTCACCATCACCATCATCTTACAGAAAGAGAAAATATGACAAAATAATGACCTTGGTGAGAGAGGGCCTGGATAATTGTTAGGCTGCTGAATGGCGTTTTATTGTTATGCTGTCGTTGTCTCTCCCGGTGTGAAATCTCTTTGCTTGCATTCATTGAAAAGCCCTGTTATTTCTCCCTCCATCTTACCCCTATTAACACTTTGACCTCACCTGATTCTCTTTGCAGCATCTGTAGGTGAGAGTGTGTGCATTGCATTTACTGCCTGTCTGCTCTATTCATTTTTTCACCCATTTCCTTAGGATTGCTGGAAAAATGTCATTATCATTGCATCGGCAGGCCCATTACGTGCTATCAGAAGTGACTGCGGTCATTGAGGCAATTCTGCTGACACTCCTCTCTCTTCTCTCCTCTGTCTTTGTCTTTCCCTTCTTTTCTGTTCTGATAGGTGCCCATTACAAAGAGTCAGTGTTCAAGCCCCCCAGTGAAGTCCCCGGTGAATCTCTCGGCCAGCTCTGTGGTTCCAAAGCGACGGGAATAATTCCGCTTCCCCTCTCCGATAAAGGAGAAACTCGAAGTTGTGCAGCAAAATGCAGAATTTGAGTCATTTTCAGCCCGTGTGATCTTTTCAGGGTCCAATTGCCGCTGCTTTCTTGTGAAACGCAGAGTCCGGACTGTTCGGATAAAAGCCCAAGGGTTTTGACATTTCAGTTCTTTTTAATTTTTGCTCCTGTTCTTGCTTCAGTGCATTTTGGAGGGGAGCCCAGACGATGGTTTGGTGTCGTTCAGGCATATGCAGAGCCCTGGCTCTCCTGGTGCTCCTGTTTGTCTTGCGGGGGAGAGGCTGCTGCTGTTGGGGGCTGAGTCCCAGCTCTGGGGACGGGGAGAAGTCCCTGCGCTCTGATCCGGACTCCTGGGAGGCCCTGCATAGGAACAAACGCAGCTGGGTATGGAACCAGTTCTTCGTTTTGGAGGAGTACACAGGAAACGAGCCTCTTTACGTCGGCAAGGTGAGTGATCCGTAACGCGGGTTATCAAAGCTTAACAGTCTAGCGCTCCAAGGGAAAGACATAAACACAGTGATGCCAAAATGCATTCACACCCGTCTGTTCTTTTCAAGTTTTGCTACATTATAGATGTGTTCTAAATAGATCCAGTTTTCTAAAAAAAATGACCTTCTCAAAAATCTTGTTTTCAGAGATTTAGATAAGTTTCCAACAAACTATAACATATAAACATAACAGGCATCAAAATATTTATCATACCCTATGCAAAGACAATGAAAACAATTGCATTCAACTTGTACTGATCATCCTTCTTGCAGAGAACATGGGGTAAATTCAGATGCTTCTTCTGCTCAGATCCAGAACAGAGTGTTTTCTTGATTAAATTGATTCAATTATACCCTGAAATTATACCCTCCTAGCAGAGGAGAGGAAGTTTGAGCCTAAAGACCAGGATTCAAACATGAGCAGAGGATATCTGTGAAAAAGGCAAATAATTCTGATTGCAGAAAAATATTGCTGGGAGAAGCGAGACACATTTGTAAACGAGTAAGAGTTTCAGTATCAGAGCTGAAATGGAAGAAGTTTTGAACCACCAGGATCCTCATTAGAACTGGGGAAAAAGATTAAAGAGGTCACCAAGAATGCATTGGTCACATTAGTTAAGTTTTTCAGTTGTGGAGCTAAAAATGTAATCTAGAAGGTCAACCAGTTCTGACGCACTGATCTGACGTAGGATCTTTATGATGGATTAGCCACAGGTAAGCCACTCCTTAGTAAGAGGTACATAGGAACTTGCTTAAATTAGTCCAAACTATAACTTAACGAATGTTAGACTAAGAGAAATAAAAAATAAAATAAAATTACTTTAGTCACATGATATCTAAATTGAACCTTTTTTTTACTGGAATTTAATTGCTAGGTTTGGAGAAAAACTCCACCATAATGCTGACAGGAATGAGAAATATGTTACTAGTCACTTTAGTAGGTAAAATGACAGAAGCCAATTGTAGAAATTCTTCAAGGATACCTGCTCCAAAGACTTGGTGATTCATCTTCCAATCTACTTGATACAGCCAAGATAACAGAGGACTAAGAGTACTCTTCAGGAGCAGGCTGGGACTGTCCTTGCATAGGTAAACCAGAGGACTTGAATCCAAATGAACATCTCTGGAAATACTAAAAACCGGCATCTAATGATGGTGCCCATTCAACCTTGATGGAGCTTGAGACGATGTGCAGGAAGAAAAAAATCCCAAAACAGATGAGCCAAGCTTGTAGATACAGAACCCAGAAACCTTGATGCTGAGGTAGCTGCCAATGGTTATTAAACTGTTAAGCCATGGATATGAATACTTTTGAAAGACAATAAGCTTTTGGGGGAAGAGGATAGTTGCTTCTGCAGGAGATCATAGTGTAGAAAATACAATGAAGAGGTCTTGAATACTTTCTAGTGGGAATGTGTATTAGCTGTGTCTGAATCTTTCTTTGCTTAAAAATATTTTCTTATGTCTGCAGGTTTGGTGCACCTGTATGGTAATATGTATATCAATAACCTGTTAACACACAGACCTGCAGAAAGTGGGACACAGCAGAGCTTTTACAGAGTTGTGCATATTCCCACTGTCCTATATAAAATGCAAAACAAATGAAAAGACTCCTCACAGACTGTGTGGGAAGAAAGAAACTCTGCATTTTATTTCAGAAAGCTTGGTTTAAAAAACTATGCCTTTAGTTTTGAGATCAGCATCAATGTGACAAGGTAATTTGCATTATAATAAGTCCCCAGGAAAAGTATACATTACACAAATATGGCTTTTTGCTGCCCTGCCAAGGCCCAAGCAGATAGATCAAAGATATGCCTGTTTTGGCAGGTAAATAAGTGAAAAACCCTCATAAAAAACATTTAAGACAAGGCAAAAATATGGGGACTAATCCTTCTTTTACGAGAGTTGGCAGTGCAATCGGTTCTTTGCGATTCTCACTTTTTTTGTTCAAAGACCAACAGTGAAAATAGCCTACAGGTACATTTTTTATACCCTAGAAAATAAAATACATGTTTGGAGCATCATACATATTTATATGCAAATATATATAATGAAAACTGAGTAAAATCAAAGATTCAGCTGTACTGTCTAACTGGAGGATAAAGCTCATAAATGTTGCTGCATAGAAGTGCAAATGAATCGAATCACTTCGTTTTTCTTGTAGTTCTGTCTCCGTATGCCCGGTATTTTCTTCAGGTTTAGTCACACTGCCGTTTTTAGTAGCAAAGTAGCTGCAAGGTTAGTGCTACTTTACTGAAGAAGGTATGGTATGATGGAGGAATTCATTACTTTTTATCATCAGCTGTTTTTAATATTTTTTTGTAGTATTAATCTCACAAGAAAAAAAGTGGGAAATATTTAAGGTTGCAAAATTATGTATTAAGCATAATTATTAGCATTTGGGCTGCAAAGTATCTTTATAGCCTGCAGGAGAGACATTTTTTGAAAGCCACAGTGCCAACAGTTATAATAATAAGTTGAACTTGAATTCAACTTCTGGTTATTTTTGTTGATATTCAAACTACATTTGCTCCGAGGCCAGTAGGAAGATAGATAGGTAAGGATTGTTTGGATGTCTATAGCCTAATTGAAAGTAATAAAATAAAAATAAAGATTAGAACACAACTGAAAACAAATCCTGTTATTATATCAAACAAGCAAAAGTTATGACGCTATCATAACTATCAGTTGGAATCTCAAAAAGTTGTTTATTATATCGGGATTGTTTTAATCAGGACAAAAAAATAAAAAATTCTCTAATCTTGGCCACCAGTTTCTTTCTGAGTATGAGTTAAAAACACATCATTCTTTTGCAGTTTTAGAAATTTTTAAAATATGTTCAGAGGAGACATTGCAAAAATATAACTCAGCGGAAGCCATATCTCTTCACTTCTTCCTTTCACATACAAATTAGCCTTAGTACAGTTATTTGCAACAGAAAGTTAGAAAAGGAAAAACATCATTTTATAACTCCCATTTCTGGGATTGTTTATCATTTCTTTAGAAATGATAAAGCTATTGCTTTAAAGCTTTAGACATTATTTTGTATTTAATGCAGAGGAGAAAAATTAAAATAAACTAAATGTCACAGAATGCAACATTCTTACAATGTAAGATTCTTACAGACACTGATTCGTGTGATTACCATTATTACCTGTTGAGGGTTTGACACTGGTTTTTCACATTCTGTTACTTGAACATAGGCGATTAACAAAACCGATAAAATGCTACAGTCTTATGCTGCATGTGGTCACAGGGAATAGATCTTAGTGCAAAAGTATATCAATATATTTCTAATTCCATTGTGTCTGAAAATCCTGCTGGAAATACATCGTATCTTGCAAAATGATGATGCAAAAAGAGCTTGAACTTCCTGGGGATAATCCTCCTTTCTCCACCCAGGTGTACGCCTTACGGACAAAACATTAATGCCACTGCATGTGAAGTGATAAACATTGATTTGCTTCCAAACTGTGCAATGTTCCACAGGAAAGTATTAGTTTTTGACACTCGTGAGAATGTTTCTCTGTATTGCACCGCCTACCTTTACAGAACAAATAGCTCTACTGGGGACATTTGTAGAAATCAGATCAAAGAGCCTCTCTAACCTCCATTACCAGGTTCTGCATTTCCAATACACTGACATAAAGTAAATGCAGTCTGCAAAATAAAATCAAACATTATTTTTGCTGAATGGCAGTAGAGTCTAAATGCAGTGATATACTTTCAGTCTTGGGAAAGGCTTGATAACCTTGTGAATGAGGTGGAAAGGGATGTCTGGGATTTTCTCCCTTACCTGTTATCTCTGTGACGCAATTCCAAAAATTCCAACGACAATGAATGGATGGGTAGAAATAAATAGAAGATTATTTTACGCCTTTACAAACGCATAAAATGGTTGATTTGTGCATGCCAGCAAGAAATGCACCACACAACTTACCAGAGATTGTACTCCACCAATTTTTCTTTGATAAACTCTGATTCGCAACGTGCAGGTCAAACCCTAAAAATATTTTCTGTTATTGAATGCATCGATCCTATAAAGTCCCTCTATTTTACAAAGCAGCTATCAGTATTCACCACGACTCACTTTTTTATATGTAAGAGTTTTAAAGATATGCTTTGATCCATAAATTACAAAGATCTTGCAATAGATTGACTTTTGGTTGAATTCCAAGCTACCACTAAGACAGAAACTGAAGCACATTTTTTAATCTCTCTTTTTGTGCTGAGAATAAGAAATCATAAGCAAGGAGAATCACCATTGGTGTTATAGCATTTCTATTTGTAAAATGTTGGTGTTGAGCTCATAATCCAAATATAAAACAGCTAAAAGCATCTTAAAATTGTTGTATGAAGAGTGTTAAGAGAAAGAACTCCTCACTTTAAAATAGAATATTAATGTGCAAGTTCTCTCGTTGTGCAACTGTGCAGACTGTTTCTTCTGAGCTTTTAGCACCACCAGTATAAATGGGGGCCCTCCTACTGCAGAAAATGGCACATGCAAGTGCAGTACAAGCCAGATGGTCCTTGGATTGGTCTCTAGATCCCCGTTATCTTGCAGAATTTTCTGGTCTTATTATTAAATTAGTTTTCATCTTTCCGCTCATCTGTGGGATAATCATTCTTATCCGCCGCGTATTTGCCGGGTCTGCTCTCGCAAGCCCATTTCCTCACCGTCTCTGAACTGAATTAGGATCTCCAGCTGGAATTAGGATACATTTTACTGTCCTATTGTTCTTCTTCTCTGCTTTTGTGCCAGGAGGATGCTGCGAGGGGAAAGCATCTAAATCAGACCGAGCATATTTGCGGCTCGGCTGGAGTTCAGCTAAGGGTCATTTTTATGTCCAAGTGTCCGTCGTGAAATATTGTCATCTGTGATCTGTGTGTCTCCTGATATCTGTTAAGTCTGACTGCAGGGAGGGGCAGGGTGGACCTTTATCATCTTCTGATGCTTTG